GTGCCAATAATACTTCCATTAGCTCAGATTTTGAAAGGAGCATACTTGTTAGAGCTTACCCACTACATGCCATATATACTGTTACCAAATTAGGAAACATGCTTCGGTAAACAAATTAACAACTGGGTGTTGTTGTTTATATCCAAATTTCAGAATAACAATCATATATAGACCAAAAAAAAGAGAGAAAAAAAATCAGAACCAAGAACATAACTAGGAATTAGAAAAGGAAAGGGTAAATAAGAGTATAAGGGGTACCAGTGAAAACAATAAAATCGGGCTTCTCTGCTTGAATCATGCGCTCAACAAAGGCAGTGGTGTTGAGGTCAGAGCAAGTAGGCATCTGATTTGGGAACACATTGTGGCACGACGTGGTCCTGCCATCCGCATAGTGCATATCTGCCACTTGCAGTATCTTGAACTGTCCATTTTTTCTAAATCGCAGCTCTTTTTTCACACCCAACACAGATTTTGGAACGAAGAAGCAGAGAGAAAAAACCACAAACCCCAAAAAGTGGGAGGGTGAAACACTTGGTGTGTTCTTCTTCGCCATCGTTGTTATCTACCTAAAATCAGCAAACCCGATGCCTTCAGCATTGCCTTACAGCTATATATATAGGTAGAGTGAGTCTAGTCCTAGTTTGGCATGTGGCCTAAAATCAAATATTTAACAGTGCCCAAAAGGATATTCCATTCCTTGTTGCGTGGTCTTTGGCGGTCTTTGAACGGTGTCTTTCTTTCTAAAAAAATATTTGTGTTAGAATCAAAAAGGATTTTTGGGCAACGCGAGATGGAGGACAGGGACTGTTTTATGTTCTAGCTCTTTCACTCAAATATTATTTTATTTAGATCTTTACGATCAATTAAAAAAAAAAGTATTCTATGGAAACATTAAAAAGATGATGAATAAAAAAAAAAGTTCATGTATTTTATTAAAATAAAATAAAAGCGTGTTTATTTTTTTATTTAAAAAGTAATTTTAAAAAATTAATATTTTTTTGAAATTTAGATCATTTTGATATTTTAATATTAAAAATAATTTAAATAAAAAATTAATATATTTTTAAATAAAAATATTTTAAACAATAATTACTATTTACTTCAAAGTTAGATGATGTACTATCAAATAATAGAAAAAATAATGAAAGATAGGCCGAAACACTATTTGGAAATTTTGAAAAAAATCAATGTATTTAAATAAAAAAAATATTAAATTTCATATACTAAATTAAAAAAAAAAGAGTAAAAGATAATGTACTAATATTGTAATTAGCCCTTTATTTATTTACAACAAATTGATCTTTTTATTTTCGTCTACAGCAACGTGATGCTGTTTTTTAACTTTAAATGAATGTTTAGAAATTCTGTAATTTTTATTTTTTGATTTCCCTTGAAAATTATTAAATTAATATTTTTTATTAGTTTTTAATAATTTTAATATGTAAATATTAAAAATTAAAAATTATTTTAATATATTTTAAAATAAAAAATATTTTTTAAACTACAATATCAAATACATGTTAAACCCTCTTTAAAAACAGTAAATTATTTCAATACCTAATAAATTTTTAAAATTTTAGTTTCATTGAAAAAAATATTATTTATTTAAAATTTAAATTTTATTTAAAATTAATTTGTATACTATTTTAATATACTAATATCAAGAATAAATTTTTAAAAATAAAAAAAATTATTTTAATATATTTATAAATTAAAAAAACTTTAAAACACTATCACCAACACATTCAAAAACGAGATAATAAGCATTCTAGAGCTTGGCCTAGTGGTGGAAAGGGCTTGTCTCGTTCCACTGCATCTGGGTTTGAGCCCTGACGTGCACGTTTGTCACCCTCGCGGTGCCTTACATGTCTACTGGGTTTGCAGGGTATTGAGTGGACGGTGAGGATTAGTCGTGGTGCGCGCAAGCTGTCCCGAACACCCCATATAAATTTTTTTTAAAAAAAAGATAATAAATTATTTAGGTAGTGGTCAAATAGTAAAAATTTAAAATTAAGAAGTTTGATTTTTTTGTGGTTTCAAGTTTAAATTCTTAATTATTTAATTATTTATATGATAACTACTAAAATTTTATATAATTATTAATTTCTAAAATTAATTATGATAACTCCAAGCTGGCTAAACGACTATATTAATCTATATATATATATATAAAGACAATAGTTGCTGTCGCCAAAACGGATCTTGACGTGTGATTTGGTTGCACATGTAAGGAGGGTCATCGACCCCACACAAAAGTAATCTTAAATGACCAAACACAAAAATAATACTGGCAACGACCAAAAGGCAGAAAAACGGCGAGTCCCTCAAAAATCCTGTGGTTCCGCCTCCCTACCTCCCGTCATTAATATTGTTTTATTAATTTTTAATAATTTTAATATGTAAATATTAAAAATTTAAAAGTTATTTTAATATATTTTTAAATAAAAAATATTTTTTAAAAATAATTTAAACTATAAAATCAAATACATGTTAAATCCTCTTTAAAAACAGTAAATTGCTTCAATATCTAATTATGTTTTTAAATTTTAGTTTCAACGAGAAAAAATAATATTTCTTTAAAATTTAAATTTTATATTATTTTAATATACTAATATCAATAATAAGTTTTAAAAAATAAAATTATTTTAATATATTTATATAAAAAAAACTTTAAAACACCATCACCGACACATTCAAAAACAGGATAATAGTTGCCGTCGCCGAAACGGATCCTGACGTGTGATTTGGTTGCACGTGTAACGAGGGTCATCGACCAAACACAAAAATAATATTAAATGACCAAACACCAAAATAATATTAAATGACCAAGACCAAAAGCGAGAAAAACGCGAGTCTCCGCGTCCCTACCTCCCGAAGTCTCCGCAGAAAGATAGCAAACAGCTTTCAAATGTTGACTGCCAGCCTGCCACGCCAGGAGTGAAGTGACCATAATCACAAACTCACAAACAATGGATGCTCGAGACATTTTTCATGAAACTTAAAGCACACCACAGGAACCTCATTTTGAAGTGGTAGAAATATTTTCCTTGGCATGGCACAGGTCGGAGAAATCATCTTCTTCTAGCATGTATTAGATGGCGATGCCGCGGGTTTATGATATATTTATATATTATTATGAGTTTGTTAAAAAAAATTATATTTAAAAAAATTATTATAATTCATAATTTTTTCAAAGAAAAAATTATAAAGTTAAAATTTTAATTAGCTTAATATTAATAAAAAAAATTAATAAAAAAAATTTAAAAAAAATTATAAAAAACAAAAACCCATGAAGGAAAATCTTATAGTAATCTATAGTATTTCATGAGAAAATCTATAGTTGTAATTCTTAACCAGTTTATTATTAAAAATAATAAAAATAATAAAAATAATTTTTAAAAAAATCATGTGGGGGATACTGTAGCAAACCACGATGTTTAAAAACAAAACAACAAAACTAAATTCTCAACCAGTTCAATATAAAAAAAAAATAGCAAAAACAATTCTGGAAAACAAATCATAAAAAATTTATGGGGGAAACATTACAGCAATTCACAATATTTTTTTTAAATTACAAAGCTAAATTCTTAATTAACTCCATATTAAAAAAATAAAATCAATAAAAACAATTCTGAAAAAAACACAAAAAAATGAAGAAAGAAGACAATTTTGGGGGAAAAAGGCAAAAAAAAATGAAAAAATAGAAAAAAAAAGCATGTGAGAAAAGTTAAAGCTAAATTCCCAATTAGCTCGATATTAAAAAAAAATCGATAAAGATAATTTTGAAAAAAACATGTGAAGAAACATTGTAGCAAAACAAAAACCATGTAGGGAAATACTGTAACAGTCCATAATGTTTTTTTTTTTAAAATACAAAGCAAAATTTTCAATCAGCTCAATATGAAAAAAAAATGCTCGATGTTGCAGGTTGTGGTATGTTTGTGCGTTGTCGTACGTTAATTTGTTAAAAAAAATTAAAAAAATTATATGAAGAAAAATTATTGCAATTCACAATATTTTTAAAGGAAAAACTACGAAGTAAATTCTTAACCAGTTTAATATTAAAAAAATAAAATTAACAAAGAAAATTTTAGAAAAAATCATAAAAAAAAAGAAAAATAATCATGCAAGAAACATTGTAGCAATCTATTTTATGAGGAAATTTATAATTATAATTCTTAACCAACTCAATATTAAAAATAATAAAATCGATAAATATAA